ATGTGCCTACGCGATGTTGACGGCGCTGCGAACACGGTCGTAAGACTGGGGAAACGAACGAAGTGAGAGGCGGACGACGCTGACCACGAGTGGCACGAGGAGTGGGCGCTTCCGCGCCCCCAAAAATCGACCCGAGGGACCCCGAGCCAGCGCATTTGCCCCGAACGAAAAGTCGCCAGACAGCGTCAGCTCAAACACCCTCCGCCTTCCCCACCCACCTCGAAGCCAAATGGCGACACGGGCAGCTATTTCCCGCATCGCGCCTGCCCTCCTCCATGTGCGCGCAGCTCCGTCATCAGTAGCGCGTCGCGCCGCGCTCGCTCGTGGATATGCCTCCCAGAGCGAACACACCGTGAGTGACAGTGCGTTGTCTCGAGATGCAGCTACTCACCCATGTGCTGCTGTGCAGATGACTGTGCGTGAGGCACTGAACAGCGCGTTGGAGGAGGAGATGCTGCGGGATGAGCGGGTCTTCGTCATCGGCGAGGAAGTCGCGCGGTACAACGGCGCATACAAGGTGCGTGTGCAGTGTCTGCGGGCCGGATCTGCAGCTAACGTCCTCCCCCAGGTCACCAAGGGCCTGCTGGACAAGTTCGGTGAGAAGCGCGTAGTCGATACTCCCATCACAGAGATGGGTTTCGCGGGTCTGTCCATTGGTGCTGCATTCTCGGGTCTGCGACCGGTGTACGTCGTTTCAATACATCCCTACGAGGCCCTGCGCCGCTCACGCGACATGCAGCTGCGAGTTCATGACCTTCAACTTTTCGATGCAGGCGATCGACCAAATCGTCAACTCGGCCGGAAAGACGCTCTACATGTCTGGGGGCACCCTGACATGCCCCATCGTCTTCCGTGGTCCTAACGGTGCTGCTGCCGGTGTCGCAGCACAGCACTCGCAAGATTATTCGGCGTGGTACGGGTCTATCCCGGGTCTGAAGGTGGTCAGCCCGTGGAGCGCGGAGGACTGCAAGGGTCTGCTCAAGGTGCGTGTCCTGCGACGTGCGGTCACTCTGTGATGCTCATCAACATGCCCCCAGGCCGCGATTCGGGACCCCAATCCTGTCGTGTTCTTGGAAAACGAGATGATGTACGGTGTCAGCTTCCCCGTCTCCCCGGAGGTGCTGTCCGACAACTTCCTGCTCCCCATCGGCAAGGCCAAGGTCGAGCGCGAGGGCAGTGACGTTACCATTGTTGCGCACAGCAAGATGGTGACCCACAGTCTGGAGGCTGCTGATGAGCTCGCCAAGGAGGGTATCAAGGCCGAGGTCATCAACCTGCGCAGCATCCGCCCGCTCGACATTGAGACTATCAAAAAGTCGGTCAAGAAGACGAACAGGTACGTCATATTTCGGAGAGGTGGTAGTGTGTATGCTGACGTGCGTCCAGGCTCGTCACCGTTGAGGGTGGCTTCCCCGCCTTTGGTGTGGGCAGCGAGATCTGTGCCCAGATCGTCGAGAGTGAGGCCTTCGACTACCTCGATGCCCCCGTCGAGCGTGTCACCGGTGCCGACGTCCCCACTCCTGTGAGTACTGTCGTTCAAGCATTTGGAATTCACATACTAAATCGGTCTGTAGTACGCGACCAACCTGGAGGCGCTCGCCTTCCCCGATAGCCCCCTTATCGCAAAGGTTGCACGCCGTGCGCTCTACAGGAGCAACTGAGCGGTCGTACTAGGCGCACGCGCTAGGTAGCTACGATTACCATGTGCCGAGCTGTTACCGGATTCTTTTTGGCTGTCTAGACTTATAATACTCGACGGGTCATCTGCTATCGCACCGCTACACTATCATATTCTGTACAGATTTGATTCGGATCGTGACTCACAACGCCCGCAGGCGTATCCGCACGGCGTTGGCGTGCGCGTCCAAGCCCTCGCAATCTGCCAGCGTCGCCACCACCGGCCCGAGCTTCCTCAGGCCGTCCGCAGTAACCTCCTGGGATGTAATGTGTTTTTGGAACGAGAGCGTGTTGACGCCGCTGAATTGTCGGGCATAGCCGTTCGTGGGCAGTGTGTGGTTCGTTCCGGAGGCGTAGTCTCCGCAACTGCGAAAGTATGTGTTGGGACTGAAACCATGAGCTTATCGGAAACACGTACCTTTCCGGAGAGTAAGGACCGACGAACACGCTTCCGGCGTTCTCTACCATAGGGACCGCAGCAGGAGCGTTCCGCAGGTGCAGGATCAAGTGTTCCGGGGCATATTCATTCGAGAACGCGATTGCCTCTTCGACGGACTGCGTCCGGACGATTATGCTCTTCGAGATGGATTGACGCACGATATCGACCCGCGGCAGAGCACGCGCCTGTGCGTCAACTTCGGCTTCAATGTCTGATACTGCGTCGTCGGACAGGTTGACAGTGACAAGGACGACCTGCGAGTCCACGCCGTGCTCGGCTTGGGAGAGCAGATCCGCAGCGACAAAGGCCGGGTTGCACGTCTCATCGGCAACCACCTGAAAAGGAACGATTCAGTCGCGCGCAATGCTGGGAAGGCGGGGCAGACGCACCAGCACCTCGGACGGCCCTGCGGGCATGTCGATCGACACGAGGGCGTCCGTGTCGTTCTGCACGAGCATCTTTGCCGCAGTCACCCACTGGTTTCCCGGGCCAAAGAGCTTGTCGACCTTGGGCACCGTCTGCGTGCCGTACGCCATCGCGGCGACCGCCTGCGCGCCGCCGGCCTTGACGAGCGCGGTCGCGCCGACGAGGTGCGCGACGTACATGACCTCTGGCGATATGCTGCCGTCGGCGCGCGGGGGCGTCGCGAGGACGATCTCCTTGCAGCCTGCGACCTGCGCCGGGATGCCGAGCATCAGTGCAGTCGACGGCAGCACGGCTGTGCCTCCGGGGACGTACAAGCCCACGCGCGCGATCGGCCGCGAAAAGCGCGAGCAGACGACGCCCGGCATGGTCTCCACGACCATCCCGGACTGCTCGATCTGCGCGGCGTGGAACTTGTGGATGTTGGCGTACGCGACGTCGATGGCCTCGCGCACAGTTGGGTCGATCTGCATGGACTCTGGGCTGAACGGTGGGAAGACGACGGTGGACGTGAGCTGCGCCTTGTCGAACTTGGCGGTGAGCTCGAGGAGCGCGGCGTCTCCGCGTGTGCGCACGTCGTCCACGATCGGCTTGACCTTTGAGATCATCTCTGCAGAGTTGAGGACGGGGCGGCGGAGGAGGGCGAGGCGCTGCTCTGACGATGTGGAGGAAAGGTCGTAGCTGCGCATGCGAATTGCTGAATCCGAAGCTGCGTCCGCGCTGTGCCCATTTCGAGCGGGGACCGGAGCCTCTGCTTTGGAGGATGTGGACGCCGCAGCGTTTGTCCACTGCGGTTTGGCGTTGCCCGGGCGGCGCGTCACCTTTTTTGCCTTTTGATCAAGGGAACGCTCGACATCGGCGATGCTGACGCCCGCAGCGACGCAGCGGGTGAGGGCAAAGTACAGCAGGTCCGCGGCCTCGAACGCAACCTCCTCTTTCGTTTCTGCTCGGCAGAGTTCGTCGGCCTCCTCCATGATCTTGGCACGTAAGAGGGCAGAGTCGTTGAATAGCCGGCGAGTGTATGAGCCTTCCGATGCGGACGCTAGACGTGCCTGGAGGGTCTTTTCGAGCGCAGCTAATCCGTGCGCCTCTCCGAAGCATGACTGTCGGTTGAGATGGCAGAAGCCGGCGCCGTGCTGGATCACTCGGTATTCGAGGCAGTCCGAGTCGCAGTCAAGACGGATGGTGACAATGTCTTGGGTCGCTCCGGACGTCTCGCCCTTGCGCCAGAGGCCATGCTTCCGTGACTGATAGACGCCTTTTCCGGTGGCGATGCTCTCCCGCACGGACTCTTGCGACGAGTAGACGAGGCCCAGGGAGCGGTCACCCTCGAGGTAAGATGAGACGACGGTGGGAAAGAGTCCGTCGGGGCGATCCGAGGTGACGGGTGAAAGGAATGCGTCAGCGACGTTGATTTGCTGATCGCTCGTTGCGGATAGGGTGAGCAGAGACGTGGGAATGACTGGGATGGCACCTGCTCCGAGAAAGGCACGGATGGTGGAGGGAGAAGGGGGTGCACTCGTGTCGGCCGGGAGGACATGAATTGCGGACCCCGAGAAAAAGCGTGAGACAGAGGCGATAAAGTCAACGTCCAAGGCCGGGGTTTTGATGAGCACGCCCGACACGCCGTTGCGGGTCTTTTCTGATACTGCGCTGACATTGCCCACGTCGAGGAGCAGGAGGAGGCGATCGGGAGGCAAGGTTCCTATGATACGGCTGGCGAATGCGAGGGGCAGGATGACCTTTTCTGCGCCGTGGTCGAGCCAGGACGTAATCTGTTCTGCAGTGGCAGAGCTGTCGTCGAGAAGAATGTACCGAGGGGCGTGCTGGGGCAGGGAGGGTATCAGGGATGCAGGGACAAGCACAGGGCCGATCCGAGCGAGCGCCTGGACGAGTGCGTCGTCCGCGCTGCCATCGAGCAGGGGGAGAAAGACCGACATGCCCCAGAGACGGCGGAGAGCGCTGCACGGCGATCGCGACCACTCGCAGACTCTTTTCGCCCCGCCACGTGCCTGCCGCGGGAAACTGGCGTCTAATCGCCCACCCAAATGTGGCAGCTCCCTTTCTCTATCGGGCGGTGACGCGCCGTGCCCGACGCCCTCACGAGCAAATGACGTCCTGTCCCGGCGATCGTGACGCGCCCCCCTTCGATCCCGAACGACCTGCCCTTCCTCGACGCCTTTGCGACTAAATCGAGCAAGTGATGTCCTATCCTGGCGATCGTGACGCCACCAGAAATCGTCTTCTATGGCCTTGCGATCGGCGTCTTGCATATATAAACCCTCGCTCCCCCGCTCTTTCTTTCACTCTTCCCCCCAAATGCCCGCCTCTGCTCACGCGGGCATCCTTGTCTCGCACCTCGCCTACCAAGGTGAACTAAAGCGGCCAAAGCCAATCCACGGTATGTCGTCTCCAAACAATGGGAGCCGAGGTTATGCTAATCCTGCAACAATAAAATAACAGGTCATACCAGGAATCGAACCTGGGTTATGGGAATCTCCCGTCAGAATCCCATGTGCTAACCGCTACACTATATGACCACGTTCTGAGGTGTTTTTTATAGGTATATAATGTTTGCGATGAGCATTGCGAGAAGGTTGCTGCGGATGGCGACAGAAACGTCGTTCGGCGCAGCTCGTTTGAGCGCCGTGTCACCTTGCTTACAAGGTCTCTCCAGGGTCACAATAGTAACCAGTTTCCCGTTGACATTTTCCCACGCTATTTCCATATGCGGTATCTCGTGACTCTCGTCTCCTCGCTGCATACTCAGTCACCGGGGTTCTGCCTTTCTTGTCCTTTCCTTCCTCCTCCTCCTTCTACGTGCCTCTACCGTATGTCTCTCTGTGTGTGTCTACTACTACCCTGTGCTGACTGCCACCTACATCTACACTCGCCTGTCAATCGCTCTGCCTCGTCGCCTTCTCATTGCCTCTTCTGGCCACATTATTCACTGTTGGATTTAGATCAACAACCTGTCTGTTCTCTCCACCGATACAGCGCTTTTGTATTTTTGTTACATACTTGGCAATTCTATGCAGTTGATCCCAAATATCTCTTGTCTTTGCGTTCAGGCGCTTCTAATCGCTCGTCCTCTTGCTTTAGGACTGGATCATGCTTCTGCATAAAGGCCTCTCGATCGAACTGTCTCAGCAGCTGGATTGTCTTCCACCCAGAACTCTGTGATAACACCACATAAAGATTGAACAGTGTTATCTTGCCTGGTGGTGGTAGGGTCTGAATATCGATTAGAACAATTGGTATTGTCTGCCCCTATGTGCGGTAGTCTGTGAAGGCATAAGCTCCGGTAAGACTGAACTACCTCCGGCGCACGGTCTTGCGTATCGCTGAACTGCCCCTTCTCAGCACCACCGAAATCTGCATAGTGACACTTGTTGGCTCAATTGGAATGATACATTCCGCCGGGCTTTCAAGTCTTGATGCACGAGTGCGAGTCAGTTTCACGAGCAAATACACTGGCATATACTTCAGCTCCACCATGCCTCCATCCGGCAAAGGAGGTTCGTTTGAATGGTGAACAATATCAATGATCTCACCGTGTGAGCCATTTGCAACATCGAGATTGGTTTGAATATTTATTGTGACCATAACTTTCTCGAGGTAAGCAACCTGCTATCGCTGGTTCATACATCTCTGATTCATTTGCTGTACAGCCTCTGACCGAAGGCAACGCCTACACTGTGGAGGAGCTCGCCTTGCCTCAACAATATCGCATTGAAGGATGACCTGTCAGCACAGCGGCTGCTCGCACAGCTTGCATGAGACACACCGTACTCATCTGCTGCAAGCATACGACATGCATGGCGTGCTCATACCTCCTTCTGAGTATGCGATAAGGCTCTGTGGAGCCATTGCCATTGTCCGCTTCAACCTTGCAGCTTATACATTTGGTCAAGTTCCGGACCATCATCACACGTTTGCGGCAGACATCACATATATACACGTGCTAGTCCTTCTAAAGTGGTTCCAACAGCAAAGTTTTCGGTTATGTACATGCCTGACATTCTTGTCATCACAAAAGTAGATACTCGTAGCTACATTATACCGGCATATATAAAACACTACTCAGTAATAAATTGTGTTGAATCAATCGACTGCACGGTTTCCGTGCTTCTAGCGCCTGGCTTTGCGACGCTTGAGTTG